TCCTTCCTTCCTTCCTTCCTTCCTTCCTTCCTTCCTTCCTTCCTTCCTTCCTTCCTTCCTTCCTTCCTTCCTTCCTTTCCCAAATCCACATGCACTGATCACCAGGGAAGCAGAATAGGCCTTATCTTAGGTAACCAATTAGAGTTTGGAGTTGTATTTTGATTTTTTAAAAAAAGTGAAGACATTATGGCATTTAGCTTTCTTTATTCCCTGATTTGAGGCCAGGGAAAGCAAAGAAGACTCTATCTGTAGGGAGGCCCTGCTGTTGATCCAGTTCCAATGATGAGATGTTGAATCTCTCCCTTTTCTTCCCCAGATACTCTGGAAGTTGGAGTTGAGCTGCAGAATGGTAAATATGAGTTTTAAGAATCTCTCTCACTTGCTATTTTGAACTCTGATGCCCATGACGTTAATAGAAAAATCATATAGGATCAGACACCTTAAAACTATGAAGATCCAGTAAGAATAAAAGAATCCTTCCAAGAGGAAAGAATCCCAATGTGGTAACCCTTATTTTTTCATGTTTGGCAGCCTTTGACCCCATTCTAGCTCTTCCACATTGGTGGGTGTGATCTAGAAGAGGCTGGCATTGGCTGCCCTGAGCACCTTCTTGACTTCCCTCCAATATTATGGCTGAGTTGTGCTGCTTCCAGGTGCCACAGAGCAGGATACGGTGTCCTCCCTGTGATGTTGTCAGTCCCTGTCATAAAATATGGAGAAAGGATAACCCCTGGTCAGTCTTTCCTCACAGAGTTCAGGGGATCCTCATTCTCCAGATCCAAAAACAGCCCTCTCAGCATGATTGTGTTGAGAAGATGGAGGGCTGAGTCTCCCGTACCCATCTTCTCTAGTCAAGCACAGAAAGGCCTTTATGGGTGGTTTTCGTCCTTCACATTTTTATCTCAAACTGAGTCCTTACTCCAAACCATTTTGTTTCATTCTGTGGCTGTTGTAGGACACTCATGCTTCATTGGGCTGTTCTTCACGTCAGGAAGGATATTTTTATTGCTATGATGTTGCTAGTCTTGCAGGCTTATTAATCTAGTGGGGCAGAAATGCTCTTCCATCTCCAATAGGCTCCTCCCTCTGCTCCAAATTTCAGTTTGTTTTTCCACTGCTGCCTCCATAGGAATTCAGACCCAAAAATACCTCCCCTTCACCTGAGCCTCAGGAAGCAGAATTGTAGCAAATACCTCTATCCTCTGAAAGGCTAAACCCTTCCCAACCTATTCTGAAAGGGGTGGTAGGCACTACACGCGCACAGCTATTCTGAAAACAATTTCTGCATTTCATAACTTTGTATAAATCAGAGTTACGTCTTCAGACCTGTGTCAGGACTACGTGCTTCCTTCCTGTGGTTTGGTTTTTGTATCAAAGCAAACCTTTGCATTAAAGAAGGGAAGCGTCTCCTTGGCCAAGGAAACTCTGCAGTCTTTATGGCTGATCAAGTGAACTCTGAACTCCTTTCAGAGAGGAGGTCCTAGTTTGATGTATTGGGAGTCAAGACCCAAAGCAGACCTGCAGCTGAAGCTCTTTTTCTTCTCCTTCCTCCTCGTCCCTCTTATAGCAAATGTTACTCTGGATCCACACACAGCCCACCCCTGCTTCACCCCCTCGGAGGACTGTAAAAGTGTTCAAGAAGTTGTTCAAGAGCAATACCTTTTCCCAGATCCTGAGAGATTTGAAAATTGGCAATACATCCTTGGCTGTCAGGGGTTTTCAACAGGGAGACATTTCTGGGAAGTCACTGTAGGAGATAAGGAGGAATGGGCTGTAGGAGTTGCCAAAAAGTCAGTGAAGAGGAAGGATTACATCGATCCTTGTCCTCAGGTAGGGATCTGGGAGG